ATTTCTTAGTAATTCTAAAGAAGTTAGGATTTACTTTAAACTTAGAAGAAATATATTTCTTTTAGGATTCTAAATATTAAGTCTTAGTTTTATTCTATATAAATAATATATTTATTCTATATTATTAGGATTACTTTTCTAAAGTAAAATAAATTATTAATAGGCTAAAAGCTTAATATAAACTTAAAGATTAAGGTATTATTAAGTATTATTTTAAGATCTAAGTAGTTAGAGATTATATAGCTTAGAAAGTCTATTTAGTATATAACTTATATATTAAGAAAGTTATTAAGTATTTTAATTTTTAAGAAAGAATATATTTTATAACTTTATTACTTTTTAGAGAACTTAAGAAGAATAAGGAATAAGTTTCTCTTATATATATAAAAGAGTATTAAGAGAAAATTAGTTTTATATTTTATTTAGTAATAATAATATATCTAAATATAGCTTTTATAGCTATATATCTCTTATAGTTTTTTATAAACTTTTTATTAGCTTATATAATAGTAATTAACTAGATAATCTAATATCTCTATATAATATATTTCTTTACTCTTTACTTTAAAGATATAAGAAATATATAAGCTCTTTAGATTATAAGTAATACTTTATTTACTAATAATAAAGAAATATAAAGATTAACTTAAAGATATATTATATATTAGCAGTCTAGTCAACCTATATAAGTAAGTATTACAGTTCACTCTATACTTTTTTTCCTAGTACTAAAACCTAATAGTAGCACTTTAACCTATACTTAATCTTAATAAAGCAAATAAATAAATCTCAGTATAACTAGTTATTAACGCTTAGCTTAATATATCCCTAGCTATATAGAAGAGCGTAGGTAGGTAGGTAGTAGAGCAGCAAAACGTACTAGTAAGAGCGTTATTTATAATACTATTATTTATAAGCGTATTATTTATAATATAGTTAGAGCTTAGTGATAGCTTAAACCTACACTTAAGGGCGTAAACTTAATAGTATAACTCTTTATATAGCTAAAAGGGTTCTTATAGCTATAGTATAAGAACTTAATTATTTAAATAAAGCCTTAAGCTTATTCCTCACATCCTCTTATATATATAACGACTTTATATAATATCTTTCCCTTTTATTATAACTACGTATAAGCTAAGTAAAGCTATATTAGATAACTTAATCTATAAGACTAAAGTTAATAAAATTAAAAGCTCTAAGTATAGTAACCTTATCTATACTAATAAGAAAACTCTACTTAAATTTACTTAGAAGTACTTACTTAAGATAGCTAATAAGTATAAGATATTAAAGTTATATAGCTTTAAGGTTAATATAGAGATAGTTAAGGCTATTAATAATAATTCTAATACTTATAACTACTTTATAAACTTCTTTAAGATAGCTAAGGTAGCCTGAAAGCTTTTTAGTAAGTTAAGAAGGGTGAATCTAATAGTAAGAGTATAGCTAATAGTAGTAGGGCTCTTTGTTAAGACTACGTAGTAGGGTAGAAGACGTTATAATAGCGCGATAGTATAGAGGCCTTAGGGCTATTATGCTTAGCGGAGCGGCGTAGACGTCTGAATAGTAGAGGAGACTTTAACAGAAAATAGGTGTGGATTAAATATAGCGTGAAGGGTAGGTACAGCTTAGAGGAGCCTTAAGAGATAGAGGAGACTAATAGAGATAGAGGCGGCTAGAAGAAAACAGTTAACTTAGCTTGTTATAATAGTTAAAGTTAGAGGAGCGTAGAGGTGAAGATAATGTCTAAGTCTGAACTACTTATAGTTATATAACCTGAAGGTTATTAGTAGAGGGTGAGGGGACTAGTCTAGCTTTCGCAGTTAATATTAGTTAAATTTCATAATATAAGGCTAGCAGCCTAAAGATATATTATATTCCTCTTTAGAAGTATAATATATTAGAAAGCTATATATTAAAATATTATTATAATATCTATAATAGAAGTAGAGCTTTTAAGCTTTAAGAATATTATAAAAGAAGCAATAACACTTAAAAGACTTTTTTATAATATAGCGTTAAATATAAGAAAAAATACTTAAAAGATTAACTATAATAATTAATAGATAATCTAACTTATAGTTAGTAATAGAGAATATATTATAATATATCTCTACTATATAGATATTTAGAATATATAGTTATAATAAGAGTTCTAAAAAAGTAGTTTTAATATAGCTTATATACTTATAAACTTAATACTTATTAATAAACTTATAAAGAACCTTTTTAGAAGTAAATTTAAATACTTTTATATACTACTAAACTTAGTAGATATATATACTTATTATAAAGGATATAAAATAAAAATAATAAGAAATAAAGTAGTATAATAGCTAAAAAGTTTATATTTAGCTTTATAGCTAAGAAGCTTAATTTAGCTTATAAAAGCTTAAAAGTAAGTTTAAAATACTTAAAAGTAAATATTATCTTAAGCTAAAGCTTTAAATATATATAGAAACCTTTTAAACTTAATAATAAAGCTTAGCTTTAATAAGTATAAGAGGTAGTAATAAATATATCTAACTAGCTCTATTAGTATTAAGCTAAAGTAGCTATAAAGAGTTTACTAGCTATAGTAGAGCTAGAGGGGATTTCCTATTTATTATTAAGTAAAGAGAAAATAATAAAAATAATATTAGGGGTAGTAAGTATAATAAGAGGAGTAGTAAGTATAATAAGTATAATAAGAACTAAAAGAGGAGTAAGTATAGAAATAAGAATAGCTAGAAGTATAGAGGTAAATATAATAGAAGTAAAGGTCTTAATAATACTACTTTAAGTAAGGGTAAAAATATATTAGATATTAGCTCTTTAGTAATTAAGATCTTATATTTAAAGTTAGTAAAAGACTAAAAAACGCTTTTAAAATATAAAAAATACCCTTAAAATTAAGAAATACTTCTAAAAAGATATTATATTTATAGCTTAATTTATAGAGTTAAACTTTATAACTTTTTAGAAGTAGTAAGTAAAGAATATTATAATAAGTATTAGAGGGATATAAAGGTAGCTATAAAAAGTAGAAATATATAAAATATATTAATTCTTTTTATAGTGTTTTATACTAGAGGTATTAATAAGAGTAAGTATAAAGTTATAATAATAACTTTAGGTCTTATTTATAAAAGTAAACTTAAAGTACTCTTTATAAAGGACTTTATAGTAGAGAAGTTTTTAAAAAGCTATTCTAAATAATTAATATAATACTTCTAATACTTAAAACTACTCTAAATAATATATATATAGGGAGTTAGACTTATTTTTATCCTTAACCTCTTTAATAATAAGATAGGGGGGGTGGGGGGGGGGGGGGGAAATATAGAGAAGCTAAGAAGTATAATAAACTCTTTATTATTATTATTATTATTAAAGATAGAGGGAGGGCTATTAATAGTAATAATAGCTTTTTTATATTTATACGCTTTATATATATAAGTAATAGCTTTTCTTTTATTAATAAGTATTATAAATTCTAATTTATAAAATAGTTAGTAAGAGTTCTAATAATTATATTAAATAATTTAATAATTATTATAATAATATATAAACGTTATAATAAGTAATTTAAGATTTTTAAAAACTTATTTTTATAAATTATAAATAATCTAAAAAAGAAAAATTTAATTATAAGAAAGTATAAGAGGTTTTATTTACTTATACTATTTATACTTAATAGCTTATACTAACTATATTAAGAAATTTTATTAATTTTAAGTATATTTATAACTTATTTTAATAACTAAGTAACCTTATTAAGTATTCTTATATTTTATAAATATAACTATAAATGCTAATTTTATTTATCTATTTATTTTATTACTTTAAAAGCTATTTTTATATATTTTATATAATAAATTTAGATAGGTTTTAAGTATATAGTAGTAAGGAATAAGTTTTTTAGCTATTTATAATATCTAAGGGGGTATATTATAATACCTTTAATCTAAGCTATAGCTTTACTACTTATTATATAATATATAGTATTATATAAGCTATACGTGTAGATATTAGTTTACGATATAGACCACCTTTCTAAATAGTTACTCCTATAATACACCTTTATTCCTAATGACCTGCGCGCCTGTAACTCGCAAGAGAAAGCATGGTCATCTGCAGCATAGCAAACGAAGACAGGATCGCTTCTCTGGCTGTCTTTGGTGGTTGGAAGCCTAGCGGAGGGATCTCAACGGGAGTTGCTTGAAGATCTGTTACGGGAACCGGCTGGTCAAGTAGGGTCTATAATTACACCCGTAACTCAACATTGCATCTACTCTATGCTTCAGACATTCTGGCAGGCGCTGAATAGGGACAATGGCGAGCGTGATTGGAAATTCTTCTTGGATAAGCATAACATAGAATTAGTCATGGCGTGAATAAGACTGCCTTTTATGATTCATGCAAATTCCGGTTACCCCATGGGCAGACACGCTGGATGGAAATAATTTGAAGCAAGAAGTCCAGCAGGAATTGAAACAAATGCTCGGTATCCGATGTAAGACGTACACTAGCCCTGAATAGTGACCTAGGACCATGTGGAGGAATTCTGGGGGTGAGACATACATCCATGCATGACTTAACGAGTTATCCTACGTGCAGAATTAGGGTTTAACGCGTCATTTGGCGCATCTAGAATAGTGAAACGACTTGGCGCCAGCCATTACTTGTCATGAACACACTTCTGCACGCCCCGAAGAGATCGACGAATCGTGTAGGCGCCGCCATCCCAGCGGGAAGCTAGCGCAAATGAGCGGAGTTCCCTCAGTCACCGGTGGCCAACGTTAAGCTTCGCGCCAATATACGCGACTGAGCGGAAAATACAGCAGAAGGACCTGGCATTTCTGTCCCGATTCCTCACTCCGATACTTAAGAGATCTTTGCCGGAAACGGTTCATAGAAAAGTCGTTTCGAAGTCTTCTCGAACATCATTCCAGATTCCAAGTTCGATCACTTCATCCAAACGCATAACCAAACGAAGTTTACATACTCCTGACATCATGAAGCTCTCTTGCGTCACCGCGGTCTTAGCTTTTGTCACTAGCTCTTTGGCCCTCCCCAGTACGTCCGTAAGTGGCCACAAGCTTGGTCCTAATACTTAGGATATGTCTCAATCTTTTATGAAGATAACTGACAGAAGTCAAGATCAACAACGTTCTTATTGAGCGAGACGGGGGCGAAGCTGTTGCGTCGGGGGAGAGCCCTGCCACGGACTATGTAATTCCCATCGACAAGCGCGATGAGAGTCCGGCCACGGACTACGTTATTCCCATTGATAAACGGGATGAAAGCCCGGCAACTGACTACGTTATTCCGATCGACAAAAGGGATGACAATCCGGCAACAGACTATGTCATTCCCATCGACAAGAGAGAAGACCCCACTGATCCCGGTGGCGAAAGTCCTGCCACAGATTATGTTATCCCTATCGACAAGTGAAATGTGTGACTTGCACTGGCTGTTGAGGTTCTGCTGAACCATCTCATTCGTGTTGGTACTTGTCGTCATATGAAGGAACAGAGAAGGGCTGGTAAAATAGAACACAATATCAAATTGAAGGCTGGTAGTGTATCTAAATCAGTGATTCTTCCGACTCATTCGGGGCCAGAAGTGAAGTTATCGTTGCTATACTTGAAGTTGCTGTTGGGAAAGAACTTCGGTAAAAGATGTAAAGGCCACCGAGTTAGCATGTGATGTCCATGGTAAAGAACGCAAATTGGCCAGCTACCCCCTCAACAACTGCATAGTTGCGTCTACATTTCTCTAGTAAATAGCCAAAGCGCTCAGTAGCGATAGCATAAGAATTTGTTCTGCGTGTCCATAACATGCGAGACGGGAACATCTTCTATGAACCCGCCGAATCGAAGAATATCCGACACAGTAGCGTTTCTAGTCGAATCGCGCTGGCGCTCCCCCTCATACTGATATAGTCGTGTCTTTGCATCTTCCTGCTGCCATTTCCACCAAAGATGATCAATCTGCGCGTGATGCAGGTAGAAGACTGGATCTATGTCTCACATCAGCCGGTTACCAAAGGTGGAGGATCATTCATCTCACCGTTTCCGGCAGCGAAAGCCAAGAGGTCACCGCTCACAGCGCGATGGATGCGATTATGCAGTCGATTCTCCATCTCCCACTCGAATTCCCGGTAACTCGGCGACCTCATAAGTTTTCCGATAGACTCCGGGCCAAACCAAGGGCCGAGAGGACGGCCAGCCGTATCAGTGGTCTTGAAGCCACGAGCTAGACAGTGTTCCACGTAGGTGCGGTTGTATCTGATGGGACGTAAATGTGAGAACGGACCATCGGTGACGCAACGACCTCCTCCAACTACAAGAGGACTCTCAGGTCCACCGTCGCCACCGAAGCCTGTCTCATTGTTCCATATTGATGATGCGGCGAGATCCATCCAGTCCATAGTCCAGTCCCAGTAGCTGCCGTTGGTGTGTTCAGCACGAGTTCTGAGCAGAAGTTGTTCATCAACTTACGGTACTTGTCCTTTAAAATCGCAATGCTCTTTCAACGCAGACTCCCACGTCTTGAGGAAGTACCTATGCCATGGCAAGAATGAAGCAGATCCATGAGCTGAAGTTCGGACAAGTGTCAGATATGGCGACCACATGGAGAGAGAGGGGCATACACAACGATCCAATTCTTTCATGCAGCAGAGAGAAGTCGTCATAGACTGTTCCGTTAGGACCCCAACGCGCAGGTTCCCGACTCAAACAGTTTACGGCGTCGGTGAAATTCTTCCTCTCGTCGGTCGTGAGCGTGCGCCACTCTCGCCGTATGGCGGGATTGCGACAAGAAGCGACTTGGGCATCGCGAGACCAGCTTGAAATAGTCAGGATAGCTGATGTAGACAGTATTCCGGTGAACACAATTGAGCCTGCCCAGAAGATCCAGATCGCAATCTGACGGGTACATCTGGAATACTTTAGCAAACGCAGCGCCTCGACAGAAGTAAGTTAAAGGCTACCTGCTGGATCTCTCATTCAGGTCGTCACTAAAGGTATCATGATCATCGGAAATGAGTTCGTAATTATTCCATTCATTGCTGCAGATGCGAGAAAACTTTGAGGCCATCGTTCATTGAAAATGCGTCGCGAAGCATTGGGTGGAGAGACCGGTGATGGGAGCTCAATGGGATGAACGTACTGCAATACCGCTCAACACAACCTGTGCTTGGATCATTTGCTCGCTTGTTCCCTCTCGGCGGTCTAGAACTCAACTATCCCTTGTTTGTGCAAGAGTTTCCCGAAAGCTTCTTCGACCGAGTCAGATCCGAGCATCAGGAACACGCCTTACCCATGGCTCCCAGGACACCGTTGGAAGGTACCTCAACGCCGGTAGCATATGACGAGGTTTCAAACAAAAGTTTCATTAACTTGTTCATAAACCTCCGCAGGTCCATCGGAGTTTTCGTATTGAAAACCCCCAGCCGCTGATACTACCGTGGGCGGCATACCCCTAACTTCTAATTTTCGGATGTCTACATATGCTCATGTATGCGGCCTGTCAGTGTTGATCCACTCGTCACTCCAAACCGTGCCGGGACGAGGCGCCACCCGGGAACTGCCATTGAACCGGTCGGACACAAATTCCCTAATCTTTTGAAAGTTTCGACAAGTGTGTGGCCTGTCGGAGTTTATGTAGTTATCTTCAACCCCAATGTAGAAGATGGACGGAATTGGCGTCAAGTCCGAGTTGCAGAGTATGATTTGCCTGAGGTGCTCAATGCAGTGGTCTCGGTGTTTGGTGCCGTGGATTGGGTTTTTGTTCGGATATATGTCCGGGTAGAACGCCCGGCGGATGTGATCCTGTCGCATGTCAGTTGTTTCCGATGACGACGCTCTCTTGGCTTCACTCACCAGACAGTGAACAGTATGCATAACTTCTAAGCTGCTCAGAGAGATTGGTAAGCCATGGAATTCCGTGTCATAGGCAACAACTTACGCTGCGATATATCCGCCCTCTCTGGGAGCCCAATACTTCTCATAACCAGGCCCCCACGCCTTTTTCGCTTCGTCTTCAGTAAGGAGAAAGAATCGGCCTAGCGATAGAATCAATAAGCACGAGGATTACACCGCGGAAGTCAGAAACTTTTGCAGCAGTGATTACTTACCCCAGTGAAGTTGTTCCCAGTTGTGATCAATATCTTTCGTTGGTTCACCAACATATTTGGTGCGTGGCGTCCCATCTTCCCGCTCAGGCACGTACTCGAACCCGTCATCCAGGAATGCAGGGCTCGCCTCAAACCACTTCTCCTCTAATTCGATTACATGTTTTGGCGCGTCTATCTATGTTATTATAACAATTGCGCATGGTGAGAGGGAGTTAGTTACCTAGCTCAGTGTGAAAGCCTCTCTCGAACGACCCAAAACGGTTGGCAGCTCGTAATTGAAGGCCAAGCCACGCTGAAAGAGCGGCCAATAACAGCGTGCTCGTGAACCATACTCCGACTGCCAAACGGAGTCGGTTCTCTCTTCGTCTAGCTGCTTGTGCAGATGCATGATGAAAAAGCTGGGTGGCATCGCCTTCCATCCTGTCGGCACTCAGTTTGATGTCCGTGAAAGTCGACATTGCGGCGTTGGTGCATTAAGCAAGATGACGATGCTTCTGTGATTGTGGCAAGCGCATTCTTCCACAGACAAGCACTCCAAAATGGTGTGTGCATACGTACATGGTTGAACCTTGCGTGTAGCGACTCGGCTGATGGGTGGCATTGTCAGTGTCAATGTCAGAACCAGCGCCACGGCGCCAAATGTACATGTAGAGTTTCTCGAAGGAGAACGACAATGTCGGTCAAATTTCCCACTTCAGGCTAACTGCTTTCTAGCAATTGTTGTATCTCAAGACCTTCCAAGTTAATACAGCTTCGCATAGCCATTTGCGAAGCCTCAATGGTGTTCGAGATGCTCACCTTAATGCGAGGTCTTTTGCTTTCTTGGATGCTGGCTGTAGTTTTGGCGGCACCAATGCCGGTTGACGTACACCTCGACAAGGTTGGTGGCTAATGTTGTGTGGAATCTCGTCAGCGTCGCTCACCCTGTATTGATAGGGAATCTTGCCCACCAAGCAACAGGAGAGTGCTGTAAGTTAAACAGTTGCTTCTGAAGCTAGGCAAAAGCTGACTTGAATAGTGTAAGTAATGGTCATGCTTATGGACCGCTTGGGTGATGAAATGAGTCTTCTTGCTAACTGTCTCACTCAAGAGTAAGTAGATATGACGATGAGCGATTGAGGCTGGGATGCAATCTTATACTGAGCGCTGTAGTACGTTGGAGGATTTGCACGAGTTTGACTGAGTGACACGATGGGGTTGAAATGCACATGAATAGCCTGATCCACAGATTCGGCTGTCCAGTGTCAGGGAAGCGATGTCGAAGTGCACACAACAGATGGGTTTTCAGATTATAAACATACTACTCTTCCTCCAGCTCTATTACACCAAGCTCAACAGGAAATCTGAAGTTTTGTTCTTAAACACCTCTGTTCATGATAGTCCAGTCCTGAATTCTATCAAACTTTCTGCATTTGCGCCACAGATTGAAATCGCTCTTTGACCCCGAAGCCCGTGATGGATCCTTCTCAAACACCACAGGCGTGACGTCAGCAGTGCACATGAGAGACTTTCTGATCGTCTCTATGCAATGGTCGATGTGTCCTCGAACAAGTTCTTCAGGGGCCCTGAAAGCGGTAACGTTGCTGTAGTCGTAGTCGTTGCGGTAAGTGTATTGGCGCACGAGATTCTAAAGTGTATTATCAGCTCTGGCTTGTTTTGAAGTGACGAAGAGGGCTTTGCTTACCAAACAGTGAAGCTGGTGGAAAACATTGAGAAAACCCTTGACGCCTCCCCCCAATTCTTTGGGAACACGCTCATACTTCTCTGGTGGTGCTTTGTTCAGGGCCGCCAACTTGTCTTCAGGGAAGCGAATCGGAGGGACTTGATGCGGTCAGCTGTGCCAAACTGAAAGTGGAGGGGCATGGAGTCAATAATGCACACCCACCTCTCCAGAGACGAATCCAGGCTTCCTCCACCTCACGCGTTGGTTTTCCGCGGTATGGTGAGGGCTGCATCAAGTGATTCTGCTCTGTGTATTCAACAAACTCCATATCACCAGAGTCGATGTATGGCGCTAAAGATAACTCATCAATCGCGGTCTCTAGGATGTAAAAGTCTGTTGCTTGTTATAGGACTCACAATAGGGCGATAGTTGTCTAGCGCATTGCAGGTCATCGGGTTTCTTGCCGATGATGAGTCGAGTGCATAAGACAATAATAATGAGGCTTTGGCACACCACTGCAAGCACAATAGGATCGCGAAGTCTTTGCGTCCAAGCCCAATACGGCGTTCTTGGAGGGATCGAGCTGTTGTCTACGACTTTATCGGCCTCGATGTCCTTGATGGTCTCGTATGCAACGAACTCTTTCGCAAGCAGCGACTTTGGCCACATTATTGCTGATGGTTCAGACTGCCTATCTCAGGTGTTTAGCCACGCAATTAGGCCTGGCGATTCCAACTCAGACTGTACAGAATGCTGGACTTGGGGGCAGGCTCAGCGGCGGACCAGCGCCAAATTAGCGCCATCAAGCCCTGGGAAGCGTCCGTGGTGAAGATTTTTTGGCGCGTTGGCGCGTACGACGAGTAATGGAACGCGCCAATTCCCGGAGACTTGAGCATGCTCTCATTGTCAACTGAATCAATAATTCAGGCTGCGCAGGGGATGAAACTGGAGTTAAGGACTTGTATTCTCAGTCTCCACGGCTTCATTTGGTAGTTGATACTTGGCACAGTGTCTGGAGTATCGTATCACCAATCACTCTAGACTTTCCAAGCCCTGTGTCCGTCATCGTGCTGCACATCACTGGCCGCCGATTGTGGCATTCCAAGCTATTTTGAGGTCTTCTGGCTCCATCCTCTAATCTTTGACCGTGATGGCTGAGACGGCAGTGAGTCGGCAGTGAGTCGGCTGTGAACGCCTATCGTCGAGCAGAACGTGCCAGGGCTTGATGCAGCCAAGCATCCTGATCTGCATATCAAGATGCCCTTTGGCCGTGGAGCCGAGATTTCCACCCTGTAAATACCTCTTGATTGGGCACCGAGACGAGGTGTCGCATAGACGCCACTGAGCTGGCAAGGCTGTGTCCCTTTGGTGCCCCAATTTTAAAATGCTGTTGCCTTGAGATGTTCATCTTTAAAGATTGGTGCGATTCTGAGATGTGAGGCTCGGCTATCGAAGTTGGCGAATATTTCAGCACTCTAGTTCAATTACATAAATATCTCTTGAAACACCGGGATTCACTTGGCCAGTTCACTTTGGTCACTAAGCTTTGAACTGGTATCCGTTCGGGATGACATCCCCGCGAGAACCATCGATTCCGTCGCCAATCTCACTTCGGACTGAGCAGCGATCGGATTCGTACACCCGGAGCCATTTTTTGGAACACACCGGCGATGACTCGAGACCGCTCATTGGCATCGGCGACATGGCCGGAAGCCGCACTCAGTCTCACGCGCCGGCCATCCCGTTGACTCCGGTCGGACACCCAATTTCGCCAACGCACCGTCAAATCGACGAGCCCACACCAGGCACTGAGCAAGACAGCCCCAAACTGCGAAATAGCCTACGCAGTTCTGCAAAGCTTCTGGAATCCGATGCCAGTGTCAAGAACTCTGATGAGTCCAACATCAAGACTGGCCTGTCCAAGTCTCAGACCAACGTCTTCTACGCATCCAAGCCAGCATGGAGCTCGGCACTTCTGGCATGGCTGGCCGAAATCATCTGGTGTTTCGTCAGTATAGGCTCGATTGTTGCCTTGGTCGTTGTCTTGAACGTGTTCGACGACGAGCAGCTACCCCAATGGCCGCTGGGATTGACGCTGAACACACTTGTCGCTTTTCTCGCTACCCTCGCTCGAGCCGCATTCGTAATTCCGGTTTCTGAGAGTCTCTCGCAGTTGAAGTGGGTTTGGTTCCGCCATCCACGGATGTTGAAGGACTTTCAAGACTTTGATGCGGCAAGCCGAGGGGTCTGGGGCAGTTTGCTGCTGTTGAAGACGACGAGGGGATGGTGAGTTTGCTAGGTATGTCGACGATGAGCGAATTCGCCAATCTAATGAAAGAGCCAGGTCTCCGAGTTTGATATCAGCCCTTGTGCTGGTTTCCGCAATTCTCACGTCAACGCTCACCCAGTCTGCTGTGACCTATCCTGTCCGGATGGCACCCATCAACGGCCCCGCGCAAGCCACAGTATCGCGGTCGACGTATTACTTTTACAATAGCGCAGGAACTAATAACAACCGTAAGTGAGACTTAATAGTCTTTCCCAATCCTTTCTTGGGGTCGATGACTGAAAGATGATGTGCAGTCATATATCGCCAGTCTGTAGACCAGCACCTTTTCGAAGGTCTCAGCTACGACTACGCCAAGATGTATCCTTTGAGCCAAGCTCGCTGTCCAACCAGTGATTGCGAGTGGCAGACATACAGCTCGTTGAGTGTGTGCACCAGATACTGGAATGTAACGGACTCTTTGAACATTACCTCCCAGAGAGTGAATACCGCCGCACCCATACCAGTCTTCGCGTCACTGAAAAATGGCCCTCGTGCAAATCTGACCCAGCCGCATTTTGGCGTCGTCAGCTTGACGGGCGTGGAAAACACAATCTCTGCGCTATCGGAACCTTCTTACAACCCAGAGTTGTCCATCTATAACATGACATTCATCTATTCCTTGAGAAAGGGCACAACTGACATCGACATGCTGGGTGCAACGGAAGTCGAAATGTACTTCTGCGTCAAGACTTTTAACCTGTCAGTCACGGGGAATATCGAAGAGCGGAAACTCATCCAAACCACGACAGATTTTGAGACAGGCAATTACACCTTGCCCGACGGCCGGGGGCCATTCCCACTCTCTGCCCTCCGAGATCCACTGGACCGAGAGACAAAATTTCCCTTGGGGCCAACGGGCGTGATTACCCAGAGCCTCGTAAGCGCTCTCAACGGAACATACATCGACCTGGCGTCAGAAGCCAGTACTTTAGGGCTCGCCCCAGCTCGGTATTTAACCGCTTTGCAGTCCCAGATACAACCGAACGTATCGAATGCGATGCACGTGGAGAGGGCAATCAGGAATGTCACCGACAACATAGCGACGTCAATGTCGAACAAGTAAGTCCAAAATGGTGTTTGGTGTCAGTGTGTCCGGAATGCTCATCAGCTCTGAATCAACAGGATTGCCCAAGATTTGACAAATGTGACTGGTCAAGTCCTCGCCGCTGAGACGTTCGTACAGGTACGATGGCCGTGGATCGCGTTCATCTCCGCACAAATCGGGCTTTCCGCGGCCGTTCTCGTTTTCACAATTGTTCAAACGCAACTGTCTGGCGTCGGGGTCGTGAAAAGCTCGACTCTGCCCACTCTGGTTGCCATTGACACGGAAAGCAAGGGTACCCTCGAGAGCGAGCTGGTCAGTCGCAACAGTCTTGGAGAGGTCGAAGATGCTAAGATAAAGTCTGAACTTGCGTGGAGGCTTGGTCTGACGGAAAGAGGGTGGCGGCTGAAGACGTGATCACAATTCATATGTCAACCGAAGATACATATGTCCGTACTTATAAGTCTATATCTTGATGATAGTAAAGTAATAGACCGTCAGACCAAGAATCCCACGACGTCTGTAACTCCGGCTTTGTTTGAACTCGTGGCCCTCACGACTCTTTCGTCGACGTGAGAGGAATGCAGTCATGGAACAGCAACGGGTACGTCAGTGCCTTGTGCTGCTCCGCCTGATCGGTCAATGTCTGCGCAACAAGCGTGATACAATGCTTCGTATGCCAGAACTGATGACACCTAGCATCCATCCAACCGATCCCGTGCTCGATGGCATACTCTACCTTGCGCCAGCAGTATAGGCAGTGTAGATCATGTGCCCGCGGGTACGTCGTGTAGATGGCGGAGAAGTTCCCACTCTGTAGTTGCGGCAACTCGCTCGGCGGCACCTTTTGCGTGAGACCGGTATCGGTGAACCACTCCCACTCGAGGTATATATCCCCCGTGATATCATGGAACTGGTCCACGATCTCGCTCCAGGCGCAGGTCGTCGGTACCCAGGCGCCCAACTGCTGCTCAAAGATACAGCCCCGCTGGCGAGCTTCGGCTGGGGTGCGGCCGCACTCGGGCTCATGGGGGATCTGCTTCGGCCGATCGTGCGCCTCGTCGTGGTGTGGTTTTTTGTGGGGGTGATTGATGTGGTGGGTGTCTTTGGAGGGGTATTCGTGGTGCTTGGTAGGTGATGGCATGAAAACGAAGACGATGACAAAGGTGCAGACGATGCCAAGAGCCAGCAAAGCTATAACTCTTACGTTTGGGAGGAAAAGTGATTTGGAGCTGGGTGGCTCTGGGTGTTCGCTGGGTCGCCTCTTTCTCAAACGTCGAGATGGCCGGATAGGCGGCTGACTGGACGGTAGCTGTTGCTCCTCATCTTTGAATGGGCTACCAAGGTCGACCTCTGGTTGATCTTGAGTTGGTAGAGGTGTATACTGTGATTTGGTGAAGTATTTGAGAATTGCGAGTTTCTCCATCTTGGCGAATTCCAGTAACTCTGGTGAGCGTTGATCGCTAGCTAGCTAGAGACGATAACGTGCCTTTTTCCCCTGGAGAGTAATATCTTGCGGTGTTCTTGATACAGGGGAAAGAGTAGAGAGCAGTTTCACAGGAGGGATGAACAGCCGGGTCCTGAGCTGGGTATCAGAGGCAGGACCAGAAGCTTAGCCGAGTCAATCTAGAGTTGCGCCAAAGTTTCCAGTAATCAATTTTCTGAGAGAGTTTGGCGCCCGCGCCTAGAGGAGCTCCCATTTGTTCAAGAGTTGTGCATGCTTTTCCTCCGCAGCTCATCCTGAATCAGAATGTCGTCTGATGTTCTCGGAGATGGCTGACAGTCTTGTTGGCAAGGAGATCCTGAGTTGCGGACTGATTCGAGCAACGCCTAGCTCCAGTAATTTCGCATGGGCCAGTTCCGTCGGTCAGAGCTGGCGCCAGCGCCTAATACATGTCGGTCTCCTTGTTATATTGCCAAAAGAATCAGGTGTGTTCTATTCTATTACCGATGACATCGACTGAATGCATCTCTCTATTCAATCTCTCTGATACCTGTGGTAAGCCAAAATGGACAACAAGGAAGGTTCGCGATCTTCAATAGAGACGTCCTCCATGGATGAGGAGAAGCACAACCTGCTGGAGTCCTCAGAAACCCTGGGGCAGAAGACGTTCCGGCCGAAGCATAGTCCTTTCACGCCAACGCGAGTCGCGATTGTGCTTCTTGTACTGTCAAATATTGCTTTCGTGGCTGCGCTGGGCTTGGTCCTGCGGTCACAGTCGAGTTCCAGCTTGCCGGCATGGATGCCGCCCGAGAGAACGGCCAAGAAGCTTTTCATGTACCAGAGCGTGTTTGGGGGAGAACCGAGCGCAAAATCAGAGGAGATGTGGACCAAGTTAATTCCGAGTATGTCGTTCTCTTCATTAGTTGGCACCGATCGGTGTATGAGTTGCTGACCATGTGGTTCGGTGATAGTGGGCAAGGGCTGGATCAACGTGACGGCCAATACGGATGAAATTCCATATTACCCGGGTATGGATTGGTCTGTTCCCAAGCAAAGGGCACTCGTCGCAGTTTTTCATCAGCTCCATTGCCTTGTAAGCGCAAATTCCGCACTGACGTCGATGGTTGCTGACGTTTGTATCTACCAGTACATGACAAGATCCGGATACTTCGTCGCGCGAGATGGCAAGTTGAGCACGGTAAACACTACGCACCTCTCCCACTGCTGGGACTATCTGCGGCAGTCAATCATGTGTTCAGGAGATACTACTTTGGAATGGTTACCACCTAAAGGGGTTGGGAGTACGGGATGGGGATACCAGCATACATGTAGGGACTACGAGGCGTTGTACATCTACGCCGAACAGCACAGAAGCAGCGATAAGAAGGTCATTCATGGATAGAAAATTCTTCCAAAGACTGTAACCAAAAATGATTAGAACCACAGACATGTGGTGGAGCAACATCTTCCCAAGACCACCTCGTTCGCATAAGTACCGAAGAAGAAATGATCGGGTTTTCAACCATTCCGTTATCCGCCATCTCGGCCACTCAACTTCCCTCCTGCATACCATCCACCACCACCAATTGTTAGTGCTGAGAAGGGACCGTCACATCTATACTAACAACACCAATTACTCCCGACTCAGAAGTCTCATAAGCTGGAACGTATGGGTGGTGACCTGTACAACAAGGCAACAAGCATTGAGAAAACACACACTAACCTGACGTTCATCGCTGAGTCCAACATGCAGGATTTAGGTCATGCCGATGATGAAATTATTTACGATACCACTCTGGACTCGTCGTCACCAATATTGTTGAAGCTGGCCCATACCCTACCGCGATGCGCCGTTGAGCATCAAGCAGGCAGTGCTGACTACTTACTGGTGGATCTTGAGGCATAATTTATTAATGATTCATGCATGTCAGCAAGTTCCCGCATGTCAGCAAATTACTAATTCAAGCGAAAGCCTCTTGTCGTATCTCGATTGGAGCCAGCTCAAGAGGTAGTGGCCGATCGGGCCGAGATCTGTCAACTTATCGCGAGAAAAAGACACGAAATTCATTCGCAGATTATCGTCATATTGATCTCTCTGTTCGAATGCTGTAGACAGGGCCATGTCTTCTTCTTGTATAAACTTCATGGATATAAGAATAATTGTTATGCCAAAGGTCAACTTACCCCCTTCTACACATGCCTCTGTGCAGCCGACAATTCTTCAAGGTCTGAAAGGGATGGTACAGGGGTCTATCGTCATGATAAATGCAGCCTGATCTGCCATTGTCAACCGCCACGCCGTCAAGTGTGTGGGTTGGCTTGGGTGTACCATCAAAGGCCTCTCAAGTCAGGCTGTGGCTGCGGGGCGGTTGAAATGCACTCAACATTCCATTTCTGATTTGCCGTCTGGGAGGATTCTACATGGTATGGGTGGGGCAATGATGCAACAGTTGAGAGGTAGTAAATTATTGAGATGTGGCATGAGGATTAAAAGGTAAGTCTTTCCCGAGCATCCGTCAACTTGTCACCACAAGTTACTCCTTCACTGCAAGAGACATGCACGCTGGGTGGCGGCATTCTGCCTTGCTGCCAACCTTCGAACCAACCTTAATGACGCATAGAGCAGGCAGTGATGTTTATCGACGAATCTTTAGGCATGCTTAGACGCTGATCCACGCATGTCAGCACGTTCTTAAAATAACTGAAAGTCCAGTGACGAATTTTGATTGGATCCAGCTGTTCTGCGTTAAGGGGTAAAGGGTTAAGCGTTGAAAAGCCCGTCAGCACACAGCTGAGCTTGGGTGACGGTAATACTTTACGCAGGAGTGTAGTTCGGAGTGTGTACCCGGCTGACATATTTAATGGCTTGGAACCCTGCTTAATGATTTATGCGACCATCTTGTCATCACAGACATCAGGCGCGCCTGTTTAAGACAAGAATTTATGTCGACAGCCATGCTATCACAAAGTTCCACAGGATGGCGCTTCGGCCTTATCCTAGCTACTGGAGTCTCGGTCGTGGTAACCATTAGCAACGTCTTGTTTCTTGTCATCTCCGTATCACACATAGAAACGGTTCCGGATTCCGCAGGAGAAGGGGTCCTGTTCTCCGGAGAATGCAAGAAAGCTAAGCAAATCAGCACCTGGTCTCATCTCCTCATCAACATCTTAGGAACCAGTCTTCTCGCGGCCAGCAACTTCACTCAGCAGATTCTTACAGCACCAACGAGAGAGGAAATTGATAAATCCCACGCTAAAAGAAAGTGGTTAGATATAGGCGTACCCTTAATTCACAACCTACCTAGAATCTCTAAGAAACGACTGCTAGCTTAGATTGTTCTTGCCTTAAGCTTATTTCCAATCCACCTTTTGTCCGCATAGTTAAGCTGAATAAATGTCTTTATGTTTGACTACTAATAGGGGCTTTTCTGCAGCTACAACTTAATTATTGCCTTTAAATTATATAATGAAGTCTCGAATATTTATATATTTGTTGTAAACTAACTATAACGTACGTATAGTATCTGTGTGAATAAAACGGCTTAATTCCTTCTAAATCAGAGTCTAACGTAAAGGGTCTTTTAAGGAATAGATCCTAATATATTAGAATATTATTAGTTTAAATAAGTAGGTTAGAAGTAGGTTACTTTATACTTTCTTCTAAGTATAAGATTACTTTAGATACTTAAGGGTATTATAATATACCCCTTTAGGTTTAAAAGAGCTTAAAAACCTTAATTTTATATAACTAACACTATAAAATCTAAATATATATATAAAGTATTATAAATAGATATAAAGAGAAGTAATTAATAAAAGAAACTAATAAAAAAAATAACTTTATAGTTTTATTATTAAATTATAAAAAAGAGGAAGGTTTTTCTCTTTATATATTTTTTATTATAATTAAGATTATAAGTATTAAAGTAGTAACTAATATTACTACTTTACTTAATAGAAATAGAAGTTTTTTATTAGCTTAAGTAAGAAAGTTAAAATAGTTATTAAAGTAGTAAGGTAGTAGTAATAATAATATTTTTTATACTACTTCTACTTTTTAATTTTCTTTTTCTATCTATATTATAACTAATATATATTACTTACTTTATACTTATATATAAATATATAGTTATATAGTAATTATAATATTTATTATTTAATTATAATTTTATTTTTAATATTAATTATATTATTTAGATACTTCTTAAAAAGACTAAAGTTAAGTATATAGCTATAATAGCTAAAGTAAGAGTTATTCTTATTAATAAGAAGTAGAAAGAGAAAGAAGGAGAAGAAAAAGAAAGTAGTAATACTTTTCTAGCTTTTTTAAAGTTTAAAAACTTTATACTTAAAAATAAGTTATTTTATTTTTATTCTATTATTTTAAAGTTCTCTTATTATTATAAACTTTTTATTTTATTTTATTATTCTTATAGATTAATTACTAATTTAAGTTATTTTATAGAAGCTAAAACTAATAAGCTTAAGAAAAGTAAAAAGTTTATAAAAAGTAGAGAAACTAAAGAGATATATAATTTATAGTTTATAACTCTTACTCCTCTATTTATTTATAAACTATACTAAAGGTATAAATAGAGTATATCTCTAATTTATAATTTTAGTTAAGTTATTATATTATTTACTAACTTCTAAGTAGAAGTAGAGGTTTTAAAAGCTAAAAGTTAAAAAGAGGAGTAGCTATTACTATTAAGTAATAAGATTTATTTATTTTATTTATAAAGTATTTAATAAAGTATATTACTTAGTATATATATATTTAATATAAAGTAAAAGAGTAAATATACTCCTTATAAAGAGAAGAAGAAGCTATATATCTTTATATTACTACTTATGTCTATATTAAGGCTTTAATTCCTTAAGGCTATATATAAAAGTATAAATAAAACTATATATTTTATACTATAATGTTTATATTATTAATTATTTAGCTAACTATCTATTAAACTATCTTTATTCTTAAGAGAACTATACTTTAAGAGACTTTTAAGGCTTATAATAAGGCTGAAGTAAAAGCTAAAGTAAAAACTAAAGCTAAAGTAAAGAGTAGGAGTAGTAATAAAGTAGCTATTAAAACTATAGCTTTTCTTTTAATACTAATTATTACTTTATTAGTTAAGCTTATTATAGAGGATATATTAATCTCTAATATTTTATATATTAATCTATCTTTTAAAGTAATCCTCTCTATTTCTAAAGTAGCTAATATTTATAATACTATTAATAGCTTTATTAGTAGATATCTTCTTAAGAAGATAAAGCTTATATATAATATCCTTATAGATAACTATATATTTACTCTCTAAGGATATAAATAAAGTATAATAGTTATATTACTAAGTATTCTATAAAGTATAAGTGTTTTAAGCTCTTAAGAAGGCTATATACTTCCTAACTATTAAGCTATTTTTAATTAAATACTTAACTTATAAGCTTTACTTATTATTTATCTTTTCCTCTTTATTTTATTCTACTATTTATAATATATTTTAAAAGTTTAGAAATACTCTAAATTATTTAAACTTTATATAAGAAAGTGTTTTTATAAAGCTATTAGCTAATATCTTATTAATAAGAAGATATATAACTTAGAATAATTACTTAATATATTCCTAATAAAGCTATATATTTTAGATATCTATATAGTAGAAGTAAGTTAAGATATACTCCTTTTTACTTATTATAAGTTATATTATTTACTAATTATTATAATAGATCTTCTATATATCTCTAAAGCTAAGTTTAAGATCTCTAAAGAGCTATTTAAGAGCTATAGTTTCTTTTATAGTATACTTTAAGCTTAGAAGCTTTACTTTTATTATTAATATAATTACTATATTTTAATATATAGCTTTCTATTAGATTAGGTTTTTAAAGAGAGATATTATAAAACTTTAAGATAACTTTTATATCTCTTTATTATTAGTAAATAATATATTATTTATAATTAATAATATTTAGGCTATTTTACTTCTTAAGATATTAAAGTGAATTATAAGGTATTAAGTGTAATATAAATATTAAATTACTTAGTTTATAGCTTAATAATATCTTAGAGATAAGTTTATTAAGAATTATAATAGTAAAGTATAAGTAAATATAATATCTAGCTATATTATAATTAAAGTATAGAGGATTAACTTAATCTTCTCTTAATATAAGAGGATTTATTATAAGTTTATTTCTCTATTAAACTTCTTAAATAAAGTGAGGAGAAGAGGTATAATTAATACTCTAAAGTTAATAAAGTTAAACTTTTTTATAATTTACTTAATATATTAATTATATAAAAAATAGATTTTTTATATTATTTAATTATAAATAATCTTAATTCTTAAGTACTATTTAGCTAGCTTTTAGTTTTTTAGTTTATACTTCTCTTTAATCCCCTTTATAACTTTTTCTGCTTTTTTTATATAGTTTTTATAATATAAGATAAAGATATTATTAATATAAAAAAGTATAAGGATTTTATTATTATAAAACTAAAAGAGATATAGATCTTTACTTATTAGGTATAATTTAAAATAAAAAAAGATACTTAAGAACTCTTTATATTAGAGTAAAAGAGTATTATAAAAGCTATATAAAGCATATTAAAATTTAATAACTTTTCTATCTTTTTTAAAACTATTTAATAAGTAATAAGTAATAAGTAATAAGAGGGTTATTTAGCCTATATATAATATTTAAAAATATATTAATAATATTAAACTAATAAATTTTAAGGTTAAATTATACTATAAAAACTATTATAACCTTAAATATTTTTATAGTAAGGGTTATAATATAAGTTTATTCTAAAAGGTGCTTTTCTTAGAAGTCGCTTTAGATATAGATTTTAGCTTTATAATAATTAAGATATCTATATTAATCTAGCTTATATATAAATACTTACTTAAGAGGTATTAGCTTATTTTTTGCTTTTAACTTATCTATAATATCTTAAATATTTATTTCTTTAAGTTTATTAATCTTAATATTATATATTTTAATAAAGTAGGAGTAAAATAGCTTTAGTATATATTAAATATCCCTCTAAGTTTTAAATAGCTTTATAAGCTAGTTAATATAGATTTTTCTACTTAGTATTATAGATATATACTTTAGTTTTATCTAATAAACTAAAGTAAAGATAAAGTAGTAGAATAAATAATATCTCTAATTTATTTTCTTAAGTATTTTTTGCTATTCTAGTATATATATTTTAAAGAAAATATCTTAGTTTTATTCTATTTAGAGGAATATAAAATATATTCTAAAATAGGGAGATTATTTTAGCTTTATAATTTTAAATTAGTTTAAGTTAGTATAGTTATATACTTACTTTAATTTCTCTTTAGTAGTACTCTTTTTTTTAGTTCTTAAGTATAGCTATACTAGCTAAATAGGAGAGTTACTTTATAAGAGTAGTTATATATTAATATCCTCTATATTTAGATTTTATAGAGGAGGTATATCTATTTAAATATATATCTTATCTAGGATTATATCTTTAGTAGGAGTTATATTCCTATTAATATCTTAAGTCTCTTCTACTATATTACTATTCTAAATAAAGTTTAATAGTAATATTAGATTTAGTACTTTATATATTTTAGTAGGGTTTAAGTTTAACTTAGAGGTTAATATCTATCTCTTTTATTTATTATTAACTATTTAAAGTTCTCTTAATAAAAAAGGGTATAATAATAATACTTTATTATTTATTATTAATATAAGATTAGTTTTATTTTATACTCTTAGAATTTAGAGTTTTAAAGGTATAGGGGATATTAGTTCTTATATCTTATTAGTAACTAAATAAGCTTTTTTGTTTTAGATTACTATCTTTATATTATCTTTTAAGTAGAATATCTTCTTATTAAAAGTTATATTTTATATAATAATAACTTTTTAAAGTGAGGGTATTTAGACTTTATAGAGGTTATATAAGTTTACTATATAACTTATTAAGTATCTAATATGCTTTTATATTATAACTTTAAAGTTATATCTATTTTTATTTGCTTTATATTCTTTTTTAAGGAGGTATACTTTATAGCTATATATTAAGTTTATAGTTACAACGCAGCCCCCCCACAAAAAGACTACAGTAAAATTCACCCTATACATAGGCATAATTCTAGAAACACTATATAGGCATTTTAACCTATACCCTCTACTAATTAAGGAAAATAGTATAGAAACCCTATATGTTCTTACTAGCAGGCAAACCCTCTGAATATCACTATATAAAGTTGAACGCGCGCCCTAGCTGAATAGACTAGCGGAATAGTAATAGCGCTAGCTGCGTAGCGTGGGGCTGGCGGCGC